ATTTGTCAATTTATTCTAAGTACCTTCAGTGAGTAACCCGCTTCATGGGACCTGAGTAGTAGACGCTTCACCACCCAGATGTTAAGGTCAGTACTACGACACTCAACACCCCAATATTAGGATCAGTGTCTCAGTATGAACTTGCGCTTGGTGTTAGAATGCGAACGCCCCGGTCTACCTCCTGCCTTCAGAAACATTGATTAATTTCATCTGTTTTTCCTTCCCTGTCTGGGCAATTGTAGAGGTGCCATACATACCTCATCCTAGGCTTATAGAAAAGCCTATTGTTGTTGACTCAGATGTGGAAGGTGTCTGTTTTTGCCAGGGTTCAGGCATGGGGGTCCAACTGACCTAATTGGGAAATTGTTATTTCCATTTTTCCTTCGAGAGGAATCTTTGTTTTTCTTTTATAATTCCCTCCCATGTGTGGGCACGTTTTTCCTGGACTCCCAGAATCACTTTATTGATGGTATACCGACAAGTTAATAAGTATGTTGTCTGCACAACAGGCTTCTTCAGTTGAATACAGGCAAAAACAACACTGGAAACAGTAGTAGTAGTAATCCTTGGTATGAGGAAAGTCTTCTGCAGCTTCTTTGCTGAACTACTTATTAGCATGATCTACTTCCCTTCATGGACCATGCTCACCTATGGTGTCAACTCCAGCTGCTTCATATAACCTCTACTCTTACTATATAAGGGATGGCCACACACCCATGCTTTAGGCTTGAGGGGCTGACCATCTTCAACGGGTAACCAACTGATCACATCAAAACTACCTCAAATGCTTCCACTGTTGTTTTCCCACCTGGATTCAACTGAAGAAGCCTGTTATGCATAAGTGAAAAGGGCAGAATAGCCTATATTTTCAGTTGATTAATGTCTCCTTCCCTGCAGGCTGAGTTAGAAGAAGTGGAGGCAGTGAGACGGACCTATCATGTAGCCAAGAGGAAGTCAAGCATGGAGCGAGCGGCGGACATTCCAGAGAGTATTGTCAAGATAGGCTCCCCACCCACTTCTGATGACGACGACGACATTGATGATGATGACAACAAAAATATTCACAAAGAAAATAGGGAGGACCTGATAACAAACCTTGAAGAATCGCAGCTGGAATGTGATAAGGAAGGTAAGAGAATAGTTCCTAAAGGAACATTGCAAAGTGAAGACACAGGTGACCAGAATCATGACATAAACCGAGATATTAATGAAGTGACAACAGAATCATCAGAGAAAGGTCTTTAAGGGTATTAGTGAGTAAATACTACTACTGTACACATTTTACGTGCATGAAAAATAGAGCTGTTGCCTTACAGTGTACAGTACAATATACAGTCTACATGGGAAGTTATTGTGCTGGATGTGAGATAAACTGTTAATCATTGAAACATATGGCAGCAGATGGTTCAAGTCTGGACCATCTAGAAATCTTAGGTAACTCTCTTACACCAGCTGCAAGTAGGCCAGCCACTGCAACTTCAAGAGTCAGCTCATCCTCCTGTGGGTCAAACTTTGTGCTGTTAAGTGAAGCTCAGATATTGGCTTATTATTATCCATCAGTGCGCCATCATCTGAGCTTCATTGAACATAGAGCTCGCCCTAAAGACAGATGAGCCCATTCTTGAAGTTGCATGGCCTCACTAGCAATTGGTGTCCAAAAATTCAGTCATCTGTTGCCACATACGTATTTCAAAGATCAAAGTTTGTCGTGCAGCCATTATCATAACTTTCCACACAAACTGTAGTTCTGTACTGGGAAAGTTTATATCTTTAGTTTCCTGCCACAAATGTCGAGAGAATTACACGCCAGATGCCTTAGCTTTATTGTTACCAATGTATTTTGACTCCACATGTAATGAACATGTATATTAGGGAAGATTTTTAAAGGTTATTTTATGTGCACATTGAATTTATGTATATATGTCATGCCGAATAGGTAAAACTGCTCAGTTAGCAAGAAATCATTTAAAATTAAGTCCTCTCTAAAATTTTCTCTTATAAATTTAAAGATATATTTTTTTCATTTGTGTTAATGTAAAAATTAATAATTTTGTACCAAAAGAACCTTAGAAAACTTACCTAACCTTATTATAACAAGCACAATTTAATCTAGCCTAACCCATCTTGCCTTATTCGGCAAAAAGAGTGTTGCTATTTGAGCCAAAATCACAAGTTTTACCTATTCAGCACGACATTTATCTTTATTATTATAATATACAGTGGACCCCGTTAACGATATTTTTTCACTCCAGAAGTATGTTCAGGTGCCAGTACTGACCGAATTTGTTCCCATAAGGAATATTGTGAAGTAGATTAGTCCCCTTCAGCCCCCCAAACATACACGTACAAACGCACTTACATAATTGGTCGCATTCGGAGGTGATCGTTATGCGGGGGTCCACTGTATAAAGATAAATTCACCAACAGATTGGTGTTTTTAGAATAATTCAAGCTTATTCGATCAAAACGCTAAATATTACAGTAAAGTCAAAACACAAACATTACTATGCTAAAAGAATACACACTCATGGACTGCGTGGTTTTACATGTACACTTGTTTAATATTGTTGAGTTTCCCCACACTGTATTTAATAAATGCAGTGCTAACAAATAATTTGTGAACCATGCATTCATTGTCCATGTAAAATTTTATTTTGACATAATATTATATATTACTATTACTATGTATTAATGGAAAGTGGTAAAGTTGTGAGTGTGATAGAGCCCTACATGACAAAGGTGGTAGTGAAGAAAGGTCCAGGTATTTAGGAAATAATAGTCATAAATGACTTGAGATTGTTATTTTGTAACCTATATGGGTTTAGTGCTTCCCATGATTATTACCTGGAGTGAGTTATGTTAATATAAATTTTCTCAAATGATCTAGTTTGCTTGTAATTTCAGCTGTGCCCAAGAGTACTTGTTTCTCACCTCAAACAATCTGCCCCTGTCTTCCTTGGCAGTTCCTCTGAGTATTTTGTATGTTATCATGTTTCTCCTGGCCCTTCTGTCCTCTAGGGTTGTTGGATTCAATTCCGTTTAACCTTTCCTTGTACTTCATACAACTGGAACTAGTCTTATTGCATACTTCTGCTCTTTCTTTAGTTTCTTAACTTGCTTCCTAAGATTTGGGTTCCATACTGGTGCTGCATACTCCAAGACTGGCCTGACATATGTTGTATAATCCACCAGGAATGACTGTTGAGATTCTTGAAGGTCACTCTCAGATTTGCCAGACAAGCATTGCCTGTAGAGGTTATTCAGTTGATGTAAGCCTCTGGTGACATAGTAGGCACTGCTATGCCCAGGTCCTCGTTAAATGATTTCTGCAGCCTCTGTCCCCAAATCTAATCTGTGTCTGGTTTTCTGGCCTCTTCCCCAAACTTCATAACCTTGCATTTGCTGGGGTTGAATTCAAGCAGCCACTTATATTACCAACCCTTGCAGTTAGTCTAGGTGGGTTTGTGTGTATATAGGGGGGGGTGCATAAGTCATATTTATGGAAGGCACAAAATCCAAAATTCCTAAGCCATCCAGCACTACATGGCATACATAAGAGAGGTCGTAGAGGGACATTATTATAATTATATTTGAAAAGAAGCACTAAACCCATATGAGTCATGTAAGTAGTGAGGGAAGTGATGTCAAGGAAACTATATCACCAAGAGTAAGAGTTCAGTTATCTGGAAGCATCCGAGTTAAAACTTAATAAATTCTATTCAGTAATCATGAAGTTTTGAGCTTGGTATTTATTATTATCATAATCATGGGGAATTATAAATGTCATATAGTACCTGGGAATGAGAGGTAATATAATTTAATTTGAGAAAGGGGCAAATAGATGCAATTTTAACTCAAGAACCCCTCACTAGCATCAGGTCATCCCCTGGAAGGAATTAATAATACAATGCATTGCCTCAATACTATAGGAGATTTACTATTTTAGTTATGGAAAGCTCTTGTGCCTATATGGACTAAGTGATGACAAATTTTGGCATACTAGATTCCAAAGTAGGTAAGTGATGCCTGTGTTTAAATTCAGTAATTGCTGAGGCAGTGTTGAAAGTTTTTATTTTTTCTCCTCTAAATTTATAAATTTATTAAATTTTAGCTCTTCTTCCCATAACACAGTTGAAGGCTCCTATGGTAGTTATAAATTCAGTGAGAAGTAAGTGCCATATCTATACTGGAATTTGGAATTTAAAAAAATGGTTAATGCAACATAAATTACTGCATGGTTTATATATGTATAACTCTGACAGTTTTATATATGATACTTTGTACCAGTTGCAGTTGAGACATTTATATCTGTAATGAATTAGTTGGGTAAAACCTGAAGTTTCATCTAGTCAACCAGAATATTTTATAATTTCAAACACTGTATAAAGCAAGACTGTTTCATAACTATTATTATGATTGTTATAATCATGAAGGGACAGCGGGTACTCGGGGTGAATTTGAGGAAGGAAAACCAGCTTTATACTTTATATTTTCTAATTTAACTACACATTTTAGTTGATCTACCTTACACTTTTGCAATGTCAAATAATTTTGCATTGTGGTTCACAGTTGTGTCTTGAATACTGTATCCCACTGCTTAACTCTTCTCTCCCATTGGGGCAGCCATATCAGTGTAGCCTCCACGTAGTCTTGTTTGTTAATATTTTTTCTTTACGAGAGCTTTTCCATGTGTATTCCGTCCCTTTTTCATGCAGGATGTTTGTTTCATTCCTATTGCAAACCCATATGTAAGTAACTACTACCAATTATCTTCACTGTATCTGCCCCTTATGGGTTTAGTGCATTTTATTTGTAAATGTAATAAATAATAATAGTGAGCCAACTATTTGTGATGGATGCATCCTGCAGGAAGCTAGTGGACTGTAAATTTATCCCAGACTTTTATTTATGTAGATTAGGAGTACTGCATTCCAGATCCTTCAAGCCTTGTGCATGTGGTATTAGCAAGAGAAAAAAAATGGAAAAATAAAACAATTGGAGGCCCGATAGTATTTATTTCAATCAGCCTCAAATATTTTATTAATATTGCCAAGGTTCAGCCACTGTAATACAGTGCTAGAAATTACATTATTATAATCACAAAACAAAAATGTTAAGTTCATATGGGTCAGCCAGCACTTGCTAGGAGGAGAATCAAAGACAAGGTGAGAAATAGAAAAGTATATGTGTAAGATGTTCACATAGTGTATAAACCTGTGTGGGCATTGACATGGAGTGTATGAAGATTAAGTGCTTGAAGACTAAGCCACTAACAAGTTGAAAATATTGTGCTGGCTATAGCCTACAAAAGATTGATGGACAATTTTTTTTTTTTAATGAACTGGCCATATCCCACCAAGGCAGGGTGACCTAAAAAGAAAAACAAAAATACAAAGAAATATTTTTTAAAAATAAAATTTGATTAAAAACAATACATTTGAGATCAAAAGTATAAGTTATGTGTGATTAGCATTCCTATAAAACTTCCATATAGTAAACAGTTATGCTTGGATCATTTTCACTAATGTTAGTTCAGTATTTTATTACTTTCATGTGAGAATTTAATGTAAATATTAAACTGGTTATATTATATTAGTTGTGCAGCAGACACAACACAGTGCAGTATTTAAGTCTACAGTGAGAATATTACCCTTGTATTACATCAGTGCTACCTTGTAATTGATGCTTCCATAAATAATATGATTTACTGTAGTAAGATAGAAAATTTTGGTTATTGGGGTAATTATCTTGGAGATTTTGTGTACAAAATGCTATTTAGGTTAAACTTAATTTTGCATGTGGAATGATTTTAACTACAGTAATAATAGCGTAAAAATGGTAAAGCTTACATTGTATTGTAGAAATGATTGCTCTAAGATCTGTTTTCTTGGAGCAAAGACTGTTTTATAGAGCTTATCTGTAAATAATGCTGCTAAAGTAAGTGCTCTTTACAGTAATGTTAAGTAGTCCAAGTACGATGGAGATTTTGACATGGAAAACATTTCTTATAATTTATTTTAGTATTGTAATTAATACCTGATGATGATCTACATTTCATCATGTTATGACGTGGAAAATTATGTACAGGTTGTTGTACATATAATTTTTAGCTGTTTCTGCTCAATAATTGTGACAGTACAGTATAATGTTAATTTTTGAAGTAGAAAGTGTGTTAGGGAAATAGATAAAAAGATAGACTAAGCACATAATTCAAATAGACACAGATAGGAAATCCAGGTACACATGTCTCGAGTAAACAGTGTGACAGGAAACTATAGATGAACTATTTTTATGGAAAATGAATGAAGATGATATGTTAGCTATAGCCAGATTTCAAGTTAAATTATATTGGCAAGTTCTAATATAGTGATTCATCATACTGATCCACAGAAGCAGTAACTGATAAAATATACACCATGCAACAGATAAAACTGTCATACACTTAACATATGAGTATGTTTAATAACTAAAATTATTCTTGTGTATTTTATAGTAAACATTCCTAGATATTCAATTTTTCACAGCATTTTCAACAAGGAAATAAGTGCTCAAATAAGTTTCAGTATTACTATTTTTCTTTATGAAAAGGCTATAAAATAGTTTCCTTATCTAGCATTTTATTTAAAAATGGAATATACAATATAGCTAAAAAAAAAAAAAAGATTCAATTTATGTATTTTATGATATAGTTATTTAGGTATCTGAAATATTATTACTAAAAGTATTCCTGACAATATATCCTTTTATTATAATACAAACAGTACAATATTTTATAATCGTAACCATAGTTCAGGACAGTTTTTTTATTTCTTCTTCTTAAATCCATACATTTTGGGTAAAAACTTAGCTACACATATTGCATCAGGTTCACCTGTCTTCTTACCTAATGTACAGTGAGCACAAAAAAAAATTGTCAAGTTTACTCAGCAATAAGTTCCATCTAATACGAATAAATTAGCAGTTTATTTCATTCTTCATGTGTATTTTACTGGTAGCAGCTGTAATTTCATTTATTGTATTATTCATTTGTTACATAATTTATATCAAAATTCATGAAAACATGCATCTCCTAGAGTAGGAATTAGTTGTCACACTGGCTGCCAGATGGCAGCAGCTAGTTGGCTGTATCATTACTTCATCTATATGTTGGCACATAGAATGTGATGTTTTCTAGCTAGAAAAAGAAATAACAACTTACATAAAATTCTAGAAGCTGGATCACAGATTCATGACCCAAAGGGCTAAATATTAGGTGGTGAGTTAATACAGACGCTTCCCTACATTCAAACATACTGCAGTGTTAGTTTATTGTAAGAAGTTCTTTATTAGAGTATTTATTATTAAAATATGCTTTTGTATTAAAAACTGTACATTACTGTCATAACAATAGAAAAATAACGACATAAGAACAATTCAAGATACGTACAGCCTTTTGGGATGTAAGTTGGTCGGCGTCTGTACATTAAAAATGACAAAAACAATAAAATTAACACGTGCAATGTGTTAAATGTTGATTTATGTTTATTGATTAACTTATCACAAGTATTTCTATATTTTCATTTTTATTTATTTTCTGAGTACCACATACTAAATACTTTACAGTAGCTGTTAGAATGTTTTGGCTAGTCATATCACATGCATAGCATGTGTAAAAAAAATTCAGACAAATATTGTGTTCAGCAGAGGATAATGATATACATTACAATAACTATTCTCAGTGCTTTCATAGTCATAGTTTTAATGTTGAAATGAATACTGAAAGATGCACAACTAGTGGCCTGTGGGACATAGATGGCCTCTGAGTAGCACAGTTGTTGTCCTCGGCATCTTTTTTACAAAGTAATAGAAAGCACGGTGTTAATTACAATGCTTAGTACACCCTCTCCTTGCTTAGCGATGTACTCCTTTACCGATGCCTCGGACTTATGACAAGCTCTCTGACCAGTATGCATGCCTAAATAATGTATATTAGATTTGATTTCCTCTATTCTGTTTATTACAGTACACTACTACTATATAAACATTTAAAAATTTTATGATGCAAAGGTGACATTAAAACAATATCAAAGATGGTTGACACAAATCCACTACCATTATACTAGTATGCTCCTAACTTAGCGATGAATTCGTTTACTGATGTGGTCTTAGGAACATAACTCTGTCGTTAAGTGAGGAGAGGCTGTATATTATTTAGTCTTGCACTTAAGGTTTTACAGTGAGAATAAGTAAGATCTGATCTACAGTGTATAGAATACTGTATATAACTTGACTGGAATCTGCATAAATGTGGCACCTGCTCATGGGCCAGTCTTCCTATGTGGTCCCAGAAGTGAAAATATTATGCAACCCTAATTTAGAATAATGTGGTTGAAGCTTAATATGAATCTCTTCAGTATATGAGTAATTTTTGGTTGGGCTCATGTAATACTTTAAATTAAAATTTAGGAAAATTTTAATTTAACATGTATAAACTTGATTGATGATTTGTAGTAAGTAAAAGATTTGTGGAATTTTGTTTATTTTGTAACTGCTGTCTTGGTTCTCTTAGGAATTCTCTTGACGAGATACATAAATTCTTCAGATATTATAGCTTAAGATGTATTTTAAGAATAAGTTATATATGATTAATGATGCATATATTTTGTCAAGACTGATAGTCTTATGACTTCAAATTTATCAAGTGTTACATCACTCATAAATGCTGATTTTAATATTTTAGTTATTAAATATATGTATAAAAATCAAAACTGATTACCTATGGTTCATATATAAGTTACAGTACTTACAGTGTTGTGATTGATCTGACAATGCCAGAAAAAAAAAATGTTTTAATAGTTTTTATTGCAAAAATGTTTGTTCTTTATCATTTTATGATTCTGTGAATTCATAATTTGAGTACAATAGTGTCTTAGCATTTATTACAAGAGGGACATGAACACTGTACATTTATCACCCTTCAGCAGTTTTTTTTTTTATGAATTAATAGTAGTACATGAAAGAGAAATGCTAAGATATTTAATTTTCAAGAAATTTAGTTAGTATATTACTTTCCAGATAGCATATCCTCTGAAGGCAGTTTTTGAACAAATTTAATTTATCTCTAAACTTTTTAAAAATAATTATCATATTTAAAACACTAGAATTTAACCATAGTGCAACCCTTGTGGGTTTAGTACTTAATTATTAAAATCATAACTAACAAGTGCTATTCAATAATAGTAAATGTTCATTACATGAGGCTGTATGGGAAATTTTGAGACTATAAACAAACATTAAAAATTTATTATTGTGGGGTTTCACCAGAATTTAAGATGAATATATATACATATCACTCCAAAATAATTTTGGCTAGCATACCTTAGACTATTTCTTACTTTTAATTAAGCAGTTAAGACTCATCATGGGGTTTAACTTATTTGTAATTTGGTTAATAGGAAAATGACATGGTAAATATTTTGCAAGGTAAATTCATGATTTTACCATAAAAAATTGTCATATTTAAGAAGTTGATCTGTTGACCAATATATGTAGTTTGGGAGATATTCACCTGAATTAACATTAGGTACCTTGAAGTTATTCAAATTTGAATTTTTTTAAGCAGGGCTAAGCTCTCCTTCCCACTCCTCAAGAGAGATGCCTGGAGACTGATGAAGGGCTCTTGATCCAAGGAATTGTTCTTCCCTTGGGTTGAACACAAGTGCCTTCCATTTCCAAAGAGCTGTACGACTCTCTCCTAATTTATCTGTAATGGAAAAGCACAAAAGATAAAATTAACAGCAGTGCTCAAAATATAGATTTTAAGTAAACTGTCTTCATAAATTTAGTATTGCAAATTATTATTACATTAATGGTGAGCTTGCTAAACATGTAGGAGGCAATCAGGTTCGACCCTAAGAAAAGGATAGTTCAAAAAACTCTTGAATCAAGAGCCCCTCACTGGCATCAAGGCACCTCCCTAATGTTTAGCATTGTAAAGAATGTGGAAGAAATGTTTTAGACATTCCATTAATGTGACATTGTCTGTATATATAGATATATTAAGAGAAGTGAAAAGACAGGATGTATTCCAGATACTTATGAACCTGTAGTTGAACATTTTATCATTTCTGACTGTAGTACAAGTATACTGTTTAACACAGAAATGATAGGAGAGGCAGTGTACTGGGTAACAGTATCGAGTGTACTGAAAATGTCATAATACCATGAGAAAGTCATGGCTTTAGCAATCCAATACAAAGATGTATTTAGTCGTACAGCATATGCATGGAGAAGAGACATATGTACTGGATATGGTGTCAAAGGTGGGCAGAGTTCACTAGTGGACATAGGCCATGCTAATAGGTTAGGCAAACTTTGGCATGACCTACTTCCTCTAGTGGATTCTGCCCACCTGTGATGCTTCACCTTGCCTGTATCCAGTATAAAAGCTCCTTCAGGCTTACGCTGTACTTTTATCAAGCTGATGGCTTGAACATATTTCTAGGCCTGAGGGACTGATTACCACAAACTCCCTCTTATTTTCCACCGATTGAATGATTTTGTCATTATGAATAGCATGGTTTCATATTATATATTCATCACCTTTTATGACTATTATTGTATGAGAAAATGAAGTGATTGTGAGAGTTCCTGTGCTGAATTCACCTATTGTTCAGTTGAGTATTTGTTGAGATAAGTGGTTAGATTCCTGACAGTTTCTTCTCTGTACACCTTAGTGGAAATTCCACATATTTCATAAACTCCAGCATCCACTGTCTGCTCATCAATAGATAGAGGTTGCAACAGCTACTTTATTGTCAATTTGACTCAACACTTTTGTGATATTTCAGGCAACCTTACTTCTAGGGAAGACTAAATAACTATTTAGCTATCACTACATGATTTTTGGGGGGGCTGTCTACAATTTACAATAAAATATGAAGGGTATCTTACAAATGGCTTAGAAAACCAACAGGTAGATGAGACTTAAATGTCTTTATTCTTTCAAGTGTCATCTACCTGTTGGTTTTCTAAGCCATTTGTAAGATACCCTTCATATTTTATTGTAAATTGTAGACAGCCCCCCCAAAAATCATGTAGTGATAGCTAAATAGTTATTTAGTCTTCCCTAGAAGTAAGGTTGCCTGAAATATCACAAAAGTGTTGAGTCAAATTGACAATAAAGTAGCTGTTGCAACCTCTATCTATTGATGAGCAGACAGTGGATGCTGGAGTTTATGAAATATGTGGAATTTCCACTAAGGTGTACAGAGAAGAAACTGTCAGGAATCTAACCACTTATCTCAACAAACTGAACAATAGGTGAATTCAGCACAGGAACTCTCACAATCACTTCATTTTCTAATACAATAATAGTCATAAAAGATGATGAATATATAATATGAAACCATGCTTATCATAATGACAAAATCAAGGAAGCTTTCAATTAACCAAACCCTTAATAGTAAGAGTTGGTTAAAACATATGGTGAACCACACATCACTCAACAAACTAATGATGCCACTACAACTCAAGATTTACCCAACATGGATCAGTAGGGCATATGAAGTGCACCTCAATATTAAATTCTTATGGTTACACTTTTCTTATTGTGGTACTATACCTCCAGGCAATATCTATCAATTTCAAATAGCTTGTGGCCTAGGTAAAATATTTTAAGGTTTCAAATGTTTGTCTTTATCAACTACAGGCAAAATGAAAATTATTCATTTGTTTTTAAAAGAGAGAAGCTTACGACGACGTTTCAGTCCGACTTGGACCATTGACAAAGTCACACTAAGAGGTGGAGCAGGATGGCTATATATAGGCAGGAAGAGGTGGAGGTAGTAGTAGTACAAGAATTGTATATAATACCGACAAGATGAAATTAAGACAAATGCACAACACCCGGGCATCCCCATCGTAGACGTTTCGCCATCCAGCCAGCCACTGGATGGCGAAACGTCCACGGTATTGTGCCTTTTTGTTATTCATTTGTTTTTCCTTGCTTAGGAGATAAAACCAAGGGTCTTTTGGTTGCAAAACGAACACTAACCAAGTCACTTAAATAATATTAACATTTGTATGAAAAAGGTGCATTATTCACATGTTAATGCTTGAACTGTGAATAAGATCAATCAATAGTCAGGTTAATTCTTGGGACAATTCATAGGGAAATGAGCTAACTAATTGTTAGGTTATTAGAATGTTCAGGATGTGAATATTGAAATTCTTCTGTGCTTGGCTTTTAATATGAATGACTTCCTATACAAAAAGTTTTGCACAAGCAAGTATTAGTCTTGTTCACACAGACACTGCAGCCTCTTCTTTGATTGATAATATACTATGTGCTATGAAGTTTTAGCACACTGAAGGTACTTAAAACATGAAGTGTTAACCAGTCAAGTCGAAACAAACCTGCTGCAAAAAAATACAGGGTACATATCTTGCTTCCATAAATGTCACACCTTTAGGCATATAAACAATATAATGTGGCCTTTCATGATTTTATTAATTCAGGTTTAAAATGTATTTACTTCTTCACTTTATATTTAACAAGATCTGTAAGATTTAATTTGTACTTGAATTTAAGCTAATAAAGTTAAACATCTTTATTGATTTATTTACTTTTCCAAAAACAATTGACTATATTAATTCTAAGGTGCCTCTTGTATTCCAACAATCTAGCACCTGTAAACCACACACCTTGAGAGATAATGCCTTCCCCGATCACATTATTATTCCTACTCCTTGGTAACCCATAAAAGTAAACTTGATTAAATTACTACCATACATGTCAGTAAATATATTTTAAAATTATCAAAGAAAAACTTTTTTTTTTTTTTTTCTGCCTTGGTGGGAGATAGCCAGTGCTTTAGAAATAATGTCAAGTGTGTCACCAACTTAAAAAGAGGCTTAATCATATAGTTCAAATTTTATATTGATTTTACACTCTTACTGCCTCCTAATCTAATATAGTGTCTTATGTTACTTCTCTAGTAATTATTACAACCCACCCTTTGAAAGGAAATGCACTGATATCGGTGTTGGCTTAGGAATCTGAGCCCCTCTCCTTGGATCAATTATACCTCCACCACTGTATTACCCTCACTGGTTTAGTGTTTCCCTATGAATATAATACAATTACAGCCTTGTAATAGGGAAGTTTCTGTCAATGTGCCAAATTAAAAAAGAGAATATATGCATCAGTCTTGATAAGACACTCGACACTTTGGATGGACTAAATTATGAGGAAGAGGTAAACCTCACTTTCGTCTGCACAGTAAATAAAAAAAAATAATATTTAGGAAACAAATTAACACTAGCAATGTTTCTACATCCTGACACCTACATGGAACTTCTCCAGACCAGATTCAAATTAGTCCTGTAATTCAACTTTAAATGTTTTATGCAGATGTGTCTGTGTGAATCACTCACTCGATTCCATTATATGAAAATGAGTATTTTGTTTCCACAGGATGCTGTAAGAATGAACAGAATATTTAGAATAGCAGAAATATTATTACACACTCAATACAATTGCACTATCATTTATCTTTAATAACCTATTATTTAACACAATACGAAATCACATCAGACTGAATTATACGATGCTACAGTTATGGCACATGTAGGTTATGTGCTAATGCCATCTATTATAAATAGCCACATAAGTCTTGACTTACTTTAAGCTATTGATAGAGGGTCCATGAAAACTATGTTGGAAGGGAAAGAATCTCGCAGCATGATTCCCTTGTCTCTATATTCATCTAACTCCTCAATGAATCCAAACCAGTAGATCACTAAGCCAGGACCAAACCTTGAATGAAATGTCTAATGTAAATCTCTTTACCTAATTACTGTACATTAATAAAAATATATTTACAAGATTTTTTATTAATTCCTCATAACCATATCTGTAAATGGTTTTAGTACTGAATTAAGATACATAATACATTGTTAAGATTTTGCTAATTATATATAATTAGTAAAGTATTACAGAATTTGAAGGAAATGACTGAATGTTTATTGTATAGACAGTTATATTTTCATAAACAATGACTTTCCCAGGGTAAGAAAATTATTTTTAATTATACACAGGACAATACTTGCATTATGAGTTTGAAACAACAGTGTCCAGAAGTACATGCAAAAAAGTGCCCTTTCTTAAACTAAGTTAAAAAGTTATTCAATTACCATAGTATCTTTCATAACAAATATTGATAAAGAGATATTATACAGCAAAAGGAACCTCTGTTAATACAACGTTTCACTTGCGTGAAGCTTTATCAGGTACATAAACCTTTGTGTACGTGAAAAGTCGTACTTACACAAGTCTTCTTTGCTGTACGCCTTTTTTACCACTTACCTGCTACAAGGTACAAATATTATATTTTTCTGTACCAGGGACAGTGAGAAACAAACTTAATTTCTGAAGTTTCTGACACTTAATATAGTATAGTAATACAGTCAACCTTCGATTTAACGAAGTAAAAGGGAGGAGTGGGTGGCCAGTAATGGTGACTGGTGGACAGAGATGAGATTGTTTTGAGATGAACGGAATAATTCTGGACAATTTTGTAAACAATGGATTTTGTCGACTGTGTCCAAATCAGCTGACCCAGCGAATTTTGTTCCGTCTTTCTGAACCCTGTTAAATAAAATTTACTGCCTTCTCATTCAAAATTATATTTAACCCTTTGACTGTCACAACCCCAAATCCTGAGGTGTCTCCTGGTGTCGCAAAATAAACCATACCACGGGCGGGATTTGAACCCGCGGTCATAGTCTCAAAACTCCAGACCGTTGCAATTGTGTCATTACGATTTCGTGAGTCATGTCGCAAAATATTTGAAAAAAAAAAAAATTTCTTATGAAATGATAGAATCTTTTCCTGATGGTAATGACACCAAAAGTACAAAATTTGATGGAAAACTTACGGAATTACGCTCTCGCGAAGTTAGCGACATCGGTGATTTCGCCCACTTTGAGCCCTATTTTCGGCTAATTCCATTGTTCCAGTCGACCAAACTCATAGGTATTTCTTTAGAACTCTATTCGTTCTATCGACTGTGTACAAGAAACTACCCAATAAATTGGTCAGAAATTTGCAATTTGGTCAATTTTATGCAAAGTACAAAATATGACAATTTCAAAATAGGGTCCAGAATGAACAATGGAGACATTCCTGGCTCTAAAATAACATTTTCCTTGTTCATCAGTTACGTCTCCAGGCTCCTCTGATATTACTCTTGCTTTCCATTTTGAATTTTTATTCAAACAAAAACTAGAAGATTTACTGTTATGCAGACTACTGCAATATTGTAATAATTGTATAAATAATTTCATGACTGCATATCACAATGGCTAGTTGGACATTTATTGGACAATGACATCATTTGTTTACTCTTGAACTATAGCAAAAATCAAACATTTCCCCTACTTTGAGCTCCATAAAAACCATACGAAAATACACCTCAGAATCGGCGTTTTAATCCAAAAACACGGTCAGAGTTTTTTTTTCTCATTATGCATTGCTTGCTACAGGAATGTTTTTTTATATTGACCACACAGACCCATTCTCTCACATGTGGGCCTACCGGCTTTCTGCCGCTAGAATTTTTGAGTATACATAAGTCAAACACATTGGCTCGTAAGATGTATATATACAACCGAAACAACCAAAGAGTTAAAGTGAAAACACTAAAGAGATACAGCACTACTGTATATCTCTCATGAATGTACATAAATAAGCCTTTTAACTTGAAACTGATTATTTATCTGAGATATCTTTCTTAATGTGTCACTACCAAGATAAAAAAAAAAAAAAGACATATACCTGTTCCAGTAACTCCAGAACTGGTCCTTCAGGTATGTACGGTGACTCTCCTCATCGCCAAAAGATGCCTTACTCTCTATCCAGTTCACAACTTTCCCATCAACAGCTGGTGTAAAGGAAGAATCAATTATATACTGCTACATTAAAAATATATTTTTCAGGAAGCACCAAAATTTTCTATCATCATTAACCTTTCAGTTTCATAAATTTTTTAAAAAATAACAATTTTATCATCCGAAATAGCAGAGGTAATGACAACAAAAGTAAAAAATTTGATGACAAATGTTTGGAATTATGCAGGTGCGAAACTGGAGATTGGAGAGCACTTAAATGACTGAGATTTCGGTCTGTTTTAGGCCGATTGCACTTGGTTATTTTTCTAATATCCTTCCCTTTATTGACTGAGCACAAGAAACTGTTATTCCACTCTCAGAATTACTTTATAAAATGCCCAGAATTAAATAATTTGGCCAATTTTACACAAAATTCAACAAATTCCAATTTAAAAACTGAATCCAAAATAAACAGTCAGCACTCCAGTGGCTAAAACAACCTTCCCTCTGTTTACTGATCACATTCCCAGGCCTTTCCTATATAACACTTGCCCTCAATTTTGAATCCATTATCACAAAAAATGAAGTTTTTACCCAGGTTTAAGTTATCCAAATAACTGAAGCAGACCTGGTAAAAAACCACTAAACAGGCTGAGGGGGGTCACAGGTTGGAGTTCCCTATCCATCCTCAGGAAAACTGCAAAAAATTGAACCACCTTTCTTTCAACTTACCAGCCATATCCCACTGAGGTGGGGTGGCCCAAAAGAAAAAAAAATAGTTTCTTCTTTTAAATTTAGTAATATATACAGGAGAAGGGGTTACTAGCCCCTTGCTCCCGGCATTTTAGTCACCTCTTACGACACGCATGGCTTACGGAGGAAGAATTCTGTTCCACTTCCCCATGGAGAAAAAAATTTAACATTTCCACTAAACTGAGGCCTATCTCAGGGAACTTCTGGTTTGAAACTGATCAAAATCATATCCATTTCACTGGTATGTCTTTCAGTCTATTAAATGGCACCAAGAAACAGAAAATGCCTCAAAGTTCCTACTTTAACCCAAACAATGTCTGAGCTCACTATTCCCATCATGCACTGTATGGGAGTAGGATTTTTTTTTAATTCATTTTCTCATGTTAAGGCTAAAATTTTCTGATCCCAGCATATCTGAGGGTGCTATGATTAAGACACAGCTCTTTGTAACATTGGCCTTAATTACATGAATCAATATGAAAGTGAATGAGTTAAAAGTCAGTTTTTATATGACAAAGAGGACACAGACCCATACAGGGATTCTATAATAAGTATGCTATACTATTTCACATCTACTGGTCAAAAGTTAAGGAACTTGATCCAAGCAAACTCAAACAGGAAATTACAAACACAAAGACTGTCCCATGGCCTGGTAGCAACACACTGAGTGTCTGTGTTTCAATGCTCCAGCAAGGGTAGAAACAAAGGGCATGCTTCTTTACACCTACTGTCTCTGTTCACCTAGCAGTAAGTAGGTACCTTGGTGTTAGTCATCCTGGGGAACAAGATTTAAGGATTCCAATGGTGCAAGGATTTTCCTGAACAAAATCTTAAGCCAAAATATATTTTAACCCTTTGAGGGTTTCGGACGTACAATTACGGCTTATGACCCAGGGTTTTTGACGTACTAGTATGCCTAAATTCTAGCGCCCTCAAATCTAGTGGGAGAAAGCTGGTAGGCCTCCATATGAAAGAATGGGTCTATGTGGTCAGTGTGCATGGTATAAAAAAAATCCTGCAGCACACAGTGCATAATGAGAAAAAAAAAACTGACCGTTTTTTTGGAATAAAACAGCGACTTTGCACTGTATTTTCGTATGGTATTTATTGTTGTATTCTAGTTTTCTTGGTCTCATTTTATAGAATGGAAGGCATATCATAGAAATTGAGATGATTTTGACTGGTTTTACAATGAAAAGTACCTTGAAATTGAGCTCAAAGTAGCAGAAATGTTCGATTTTTACCAAAGTTCAAAAGTAAACAAATCATGCCAAGCGTCCAATACACGTCAACTGGTGAGTCTAATATTCTTTTGCAAGTGCGCCAATATGATTCATACCATTTTTTACACTAATGCAGTACTCTGCATAACAGTAAATCTTCTATTTTTTGTGAGAATAAAAATTCAAAGTGGAAAGCAAAAGAATGTAAGAGGGGCCTTGAGACGTGACTAATGAACAGAGGAAATGTCATTTTAGTGCCAGGAATGTATTTCTTGTTTGTTCTGGACCCTATTCGGAAATTGGCATCTTTTGAAATTTGTGTGAAATTGGCAAAATTGCTAAATTCTGACCACTGTACTGAATAGTTGAAATTGGTGAATGGGTGGTTTCTTGCACTCATTCAATAGAAAAAATGGAGTTCTAGCGAAATATTCATGTTTTTTGTCGACTAGTACAGTGGAACTGGCCGAAAATGGGGCTCAAATTGGGCAAAATTGCCAATCCGTAAACATCGCCAAGACCGCTAACTTCACGAGAGCATAATTCCGTAAGTTTTCCATCAAATTTCATATTTTTGGTGTTATTATGATCGGGAAAAGATTCTCTATCTTTTCATAAGAATTTTTTTTTTTTTTTTTAAATTTGGCCGACCCTGAGAAAGAGTCTCGGAGAGGGTCTGTCGGCCCTCAAAGGGTTAATGATGATTAAAAATTTAATAATAACCTATTTGCCAAGTATGGCAGGAGCAAGGGGCTAGTAACCCCTTCTCCTGTATAAATTACTAAATTTAAAAAGAGAAACTTTCGTTATTCTTTTTGGGCCACCCTGCCTCGGTGGGATACGGCTGGTTTGTTGAAAGAAGAAAGAAAGATTTGCCAAGTCACATATTTTTGTGTCTAGGTTAGTAGAACAGTAATAAATGAATGTTTGATACCCACTCTAGTAGACTTTCCACAATTCACAAATTGGAAATGTAACTAGATGACATTTCAGTCCATATGGCCCAACATCATGACCAGACTGGATTATGTCCAGGACAGATTTAAATACTGCCTAGTGTTATGCACAATTTTATGAGTCAGTTGTGAATTGTTCCAGCCATGCTATCTGAATTCTAAGTGTTCTAGTGGTCATGCTGAGGACAAGAATCCCACTGCTTGTGAATGGTACTGTTCATTTTCTCTGAAACCATTTATTCCTAAACCTATACAATATATCATATACATTTTGAAGTCAAAATAGATACAAAGCATTTTTCATTATACTGTATTTAAGTGAGACCCTTTGTCATTTATTATCTTTCCCTAGATATAAAGAAATTTATGAATAATAATACACTGCCATACAAACAAGCTACTGTTGCCATGTGCTTTATCAATCATAATCTTGATTAAAAATAAAATTATTAAAACACATTAATCACCTTTACAGTGCCTATATAGAATATATGACTATACAGTAGGACCTCCATATCTGCGAGGGATATGTTCCAAAGACCTGCTGTAGATACCGAAACCGCATTTAGTAGCAAACCCTATACTATATATAAGCCCTATACATACCTATTAAAAAGCTAAATTAATAACTTATGCACAATAAGTGGAGAATTATCACTTTTTCACTGATGGGAAGCACTTCACAGCTTCTCTTAGGCTTTGAAGAACTCCCAGCTTATCTACTTTTGTGCTTTGGGACCATTATTATGTAAAATTAAGAGGTATTTTTGGGCCACAGTAAACTGTGGATAATTGAAACTGCGGATACTGAATCTGTGGATACAGGGGTTCTACTGTACTTCATATACTTCTCCATGCATGTCATAAGAGGCAACTAAAATGCTGGGAGCAAGGGGTTAGTAACCTCTTCTCCTGTATAAATTAAATTTAAAAAGAAAAACTTTCATTTTTCTTTTTAGGTCAACCTGCCTAGGTGGGATATGGCTGGCTTGTTCAAGCAAAAAAAATACATCATTGACAGGACTGCCACATCCACGGTCCAGTTTCAGTTATCCACAGTGTACCCTGGCCTGAAAATAACCCTTAATTTTATTTAATAATAACATCAAAGTGCAAAGTTGTGATGGTGACAGTTCTTCAAAGCCTAAGACAAGTTGTGAAGCACTTCCCTTCAGTGAGAAAGTGCTAATTCTTGACTTATTATGCGTAATTTATCAATTAAACTTTATATGTATGTAAACAAAAAATTACTTAAATGCATGGTTCGTTACTATCTGCAGTTTTGGGTATCAGAGATAGGTCTTCGATATGGGGGTCCTACTGTATTGGTAATTATCATTAACCTGACACTACATGTGGAAAAAAAACACCCATTACTTACCAATAGGAATGTCCAATTTGATGTCTGGTGTCTTGTCGTACCCTCTTAACCGAAGGTCATCCTCATTCTGGTAGCTAATGTTTAGCTTTTCGAGCTCTCGGCGCAAAAAGAACTCGTATTCATAACCTATGGAACTACGGAGCAAGGAATACCAAAATTCAAATATGAGATAGAAAAGTACACACAAGCATTGTTAAGCAGTGAGCCACATTAAATTCTGCATACAAAACATTGCTTGACTTTAAAAAAAATTAAAAAATTTCTAGTGAAAAGCTGAATCCACCAGGATATTAAATAGTAGTTATATCAATATTTTACATCACAAAACAAAGAACAACTGCAAATAGCACAAATAAAAGTTTTGGTAAAGGTTATGAAAATGAATCAGTTTGGTGCAATGAATAATGATAAGGCACTAGAACAGTGTATAAGAATATATTATCTGTGAATCCCCACACTGAGCCAAGGATACTCTATAAAAATTAAGTATCTTCTCTGATACACTGCATAAGAGAGAGTTACACCTGGCATAGTTACATTCTTTTGACAAATTTTAATCCCAAGCCACTTCATGTACTCAAATACAAGACTAATAAACACTGGTTAGTAACAGAAATCAGGATTATAAAGCAACAGTTGACATAAATTGTATATACATGTACTACTACAGCACTTCTTCCCTGGGTATATCCATACTTCAATTCTTCCCTCACAATTCAACAGGTTTATGTAACATGAGCTTTCTTACAGTACTGTATATAATACTAAACTATTATTCTTTTCTTTCATTCAACACACCGGCTGTATCCCACCGAGGCGGGGTGGCCCAAAAGGAAAAACGAAAGTTTCTCCTTTTACATTTAGTAATATATACAGGAGAAGAGGTTACTAGCCCCTTGCTAAACTATTATTATTATTATTAATTATTACTAGCAACTACATACAAGAGGGTCCTGCTTTACCGCGTTTTGCTAAAACAGCGGTTTTCAATTATACCCATTCTTCAATTATTCAGACTTCCCATTATAAATATATTCACCACTCGCTATAAGCTAAGCACGAAAATATTTTAAGGTAAGTAATATGTGTACTGAATATGCATTTTTTAGGCCTAGCTCCACTGCTCACTTACTATACGATAGTGTAAATATGTTATCAGGCTTCTATATGCATTTGAAAGTGAAAAAAGACTGATTCCTTTTAAAGAGGTAGCCCAGAACCTAACCTGCAGTATAAGTGGGGCCCTCCTGTATCCTGAATTAAATGCAGCCTCTCCTCATTTAGCAATGTACTCGTTTACCGACGACTCGGACTTATGATGGGCTCTGATCAGTATGCATACCTAAATAATGTACTTGTATATTAGATCTGATTTCCTCTATTCTGTTTATTACAATATACAGTACACTACTGTATAAACATTTAAAAATATACTGTACTAAAAATATTATAAATGGTGCAAGGGTAACAATAAAGCAATATCAAAGATGGCTGACATAAATCCACTACCATTATTGTATGCTCTTCGTTTATCGACGTGGTATTCGGAATGGAACTCCATCGTTAAGTGAGGAGAGGCTGTATAACTGATGCTAGTGTTTAAGTATGCAAGGAAGAGCAACAATCTACATTAGGCACACAAAATAAAGGAATACACTGGGTAGTACATACCAAGCAATTAAAATATCATGGAAACAACATCAACATCAATGTTAAAAATATATGACTGTAGGTAAAAAAATAGTGATAATGTGCGAGTGTGGTGAAAGTGTTGAATGATGATGAAAGTATTTTCTTTTTGGGGATTTTCTTTCTTTTTTGGGTCACCCTGCCTCGGTGGGAGACGGCCGACTTGTTGAAAAAAAAAAAAAAAAAAAATGATAAGAAAAAAAAAAAGTAGATTCATAGAGTACTCACTGTTTTATGCTGTCAGCAAAAGGTCCATAAACTTCATCCTCCAACAAACACTAGCAAAAAATGAGAAAAATGTTCTCATATTTTCATAGTCAGATTATTATTATTGTTATGTTATTAGGGGAAGCGCAAAACCCCACATGGGTTATTATTTTGTGCCTGGAAGAATGGAAGACATTCAGATCTGAACCAAGGATGAGAAGAACAGGACTCACGAAATCGTAATGACACAATTGCAAACAAACCATACCACGGGCGGGATTTGAACCCACGGTCAGAGAGTCTCAAAACTCCAGACCGTCGCGTTAGCCACTGGGCCAGCTAACTTCAATAAGATTCGTCCAACTAGGTGTATTTCTACACCATAGGAAGGTTAGCATATGCACCACTGTGTCCACAAATGCATTTGTGGACACAGTGGTGCCTATGCTAACCTTCCTATAGTGTAGAAATATACCTAGTTGGACGAATCTTATTGAAGCTAGCTGGCCCAGTGGCTAACGCGACGGTCTGGAGTTTTGAGACTCTCTGACCGCGGGTTCAAATCCTGCCCGTGGTATGGTTTATGAGAAGAACAGATCCAATAACTAAGATCAAAAGACCCCTTCCCTTTGCTTGAAGGGTTCATAATGAACTGATTCCTTGCATCAGTTAAGATTAACTTTTTTTTATTATCAAATGTAATAAAGAAATGAACAAATATTGTCACACTGGTTAAGAAAATGCACTGAAAAAGCTAAAAGTGGACCATTTCAGGCCAGAGTCCTTATCAAAACTATAATGGCCTTCAGAAAAAGTCATATACAGTATACAGAAATTTTATACGTTTGTATTTCTTCAGAATCAGAAAGAAGTAAAAGTCTGAAAATTTCTTTAAAAAATACAGTGCATGAATTTCAATGCTAAATCAATTTCAATACAAGGTTAGTGCAAAGAATTTTCTTTAAGGCTGGTCAATGTGAGGAAAGGGAAACAATTAGGTTTGATCCAAGGAAACTCCCTTGAGGAGTTTACTGTCTGTAAAAGTGTCTCGACCTCACATATTTAGTAACAAAGTACAACAGGAGAGAGAAATTCTCAAGCATCACTTATGATTCAGATATAATCCAGAACTCATCTCACCAATGCACTCACATCACAATGCACTCATCTCACCAATGCACTCTCTAATCTCTGTCACTTTTAGAGTTTATCACATTGGAAATGTGCTGCATGTTCCCCTTACTTTGCAAACAACATTTACAATAGTCAAGTTCAGCCCCAAGCAATTCTTTATATCGCAACACACATTGAGCAATGTTCTTGTGGGTAATTTTCAAAAATGTTATAAATATAGAGTTTATATCTTTATAAACACTTGCAACAGCTGTATGTTGTGATATGAATAATTACATTTTTCTCAGAAATTACTGCAAACATGAGCCCATGTACTGTCATTTCTTTCTTTCTTTCTTTCGACAAACCGGCCGTATCCCACCGAGGTGGGGTGGCCCTAGAGGAAAAACGAAAGTTTCTCCTTTTACATTTAGTAATATATACAGGAGAAGAGGTTACTAGCCCCTTGCTCCCGGCATTTTAGTTGCCTCTTACAACACGCACGGCTAACGGAGGAAGAATTCTGTTCCACTTCCCCATGGAGGTAAGAGGAAATAAACAAGAATAAGAACTAGAAAGAAAATAGAAGAAAACCCAGCGGGGTGTGTATATATGTGCTTGTACATGTATGTGTAGTGTGACCTAAGTGTAAGTAGAAGTAGCAAGACATACCTGAAATCTTGCATGTTTATGAGACAGAAAAAAGGACACCAGCAATCCCACCATCACGTAAAACAATTACAGGCTTTCGTTTCACACTCATTTGGCAGGACGGTAGTACCTCCCTGGGTGGTTGCTGTCTACCAACCTTCTACCTACAACTGTCATTTCACAGTATCATAATTACAGTGGACCCCCAAGTTTCATGATTAATCCGTTCCAGAGAGTCTGCCGACTGGCGAAATTCACGATTGGCGAATCTATTTTCCCCATAAGAAATAATGGAAACCCAATTAATCCGTTTCAGACAGCCAAAAGTATTAACAAAAAATAATTTTTTTAAAGATTAAATATAGATTTACATATAAAAAACAATGGCAAATAAATATAAAGCACTAATAAAATGGATAAATGAACATTTAACATCACACTTAACCTTTATTGATTCTTGTTGGTGTAGGAGGTAGGTAGGAGGCAAGAGGAAGGCGAGTTTATTATGCTTCAATATGACACTATCATCATCTCTACGGCTTATTTATCTATCACAATTCATCTAATATGACATTATAAATAATATTAATAACATAGAAACATGATATATACTCTAGAATGAATAAAATATGTCATAATATATGAGAGGAGTAAATGGTGTAAGTGTTGTTGCTGGGTTTAAGGGCCGCCACTGAGAGAATCCGTGTTGGTGGCGGTGGAGGCTTCTGCCACCACCACCATCACACTTAAACAATGTATGTAATTTATAAATAAGAAATATTTACATTTTAATTTATAAATAAGAAATATTTACATTTTAATTTATAAATAAGTTTATTCAGGTATACACAAATACAGTTACATACATAGATTATCATACATAGCAGTATATGTGTAAAGTACCCAGGATAACCCAAAAAATTCAAGTGACATATTTCCATTGGTGTCCTTTTATAGTTACACTTATATTTACTTTTATACTTACACTTTTATATTTACACTTACCTTGGAGGAGATGTTAGTCTAATTAGTTAGTTTGATGAAGGAGATGTTGGCAGAGGTTTAGGGTGGTGGAAGATAGCAGGGCGGTGTATGTTCAGCGGTCCTATACACATCCAACAACATTGGAGAGTTACTCTCATGTTGTTTTTCTATCGCTTACTCGCTTAACTTACTTGCTACACTGTTAATTCTACACTTTATCGCTGGCTGGAGCTATAGCCTTTATTGATACCTGCTGCTTTAGTATCGTACATATTGTTGAATTACTGAATCACTGCAGAAGGCACATTCTCCCCTTTCTCTTCCTCCTCTACTTTAGTACTTTGCTATGAGTTTTTTCTTGAATTCTATCGTGTTTCTCACCTTCTTTACCAAAGGACTGCACTAGGAGCTTTCTTTGGGTCCATGGTGGCTTATTTAGCAGTTGCAAGCACAAAAAACAATGAATTATTATGAAATGTGTTGTATGAACCCGTGGGGTGATGGTCACATGCTGGTAAACAATGGCACACTGAGTGTGAATAGTGCTGGGAGACTGGCTTTGTGTGAGCGCTGATGGGCAGACGTGTACCAGAAGGTCGTCGAACCACGAAGTTAAATTTTGCCAAAAAAACTTGCCGAAAGTCGGATTTCACGAAAGTCGCGGCCGCCGAACAGCGGGGATCCACTGTATATCCAAAAGTCTTAAGTTAAAAGGTGGAAATAAAGTAGATGGACAAACAAAGCTTCTATTGCTGTATCAATTACCAGCACTTTACAGATATATAAAACCAAAGCTTTTCAAGTTTAATATAACACTATGATTTGCATCACTATTGCTGAAAAGACACATTTTAAACACTTACCAGATATACTTCAATGCTAAGGTCTCTGTCCTCTATCATCGTTGTATCTCGCAGTAGGCGGTTAACTTGCGACTTGCTCACTGAAAATGAAATTTTTAAAATTAGCAACAAATGATAAATCTCTGAAAATATATTTTTTGGCCTAATATAATCATAAATAAGTTAATGTGTAAGATACATGTGCAACAGTTGGGTATCTTTATTGATGAATAGGATACATGTGCAACAGTTGGGTATCTTTATTGATGAATAAGATACATGTGCAACAGTTGGGTATCTTTATTGATGAATAGGATACATGTGCAACAGTTGGGTATCTTTATTGATGAATAAGATAACATGTGCAACAGTTGGGTATATTTATTGATAAGATACACATGCAACAGTTGGATAACTTTATATATGAATAAGACACATGTGCAACAGTTAGGTATCTTTAGTGATGAATAAGACACACATGCAACAGTTGGGTATGTTCACTGATGAGTAAGACACACGTACAACAGTTGGGTAACTTTATTGATGAATAAGACACGTGCTATAGTTGGGTATCTTTAGTGATGAATAAGACACATGTGCTACAGTTGGGTATCTTTAGTGATGAATAAGACACATGTGCTACAGTTGGGTATCTTTAGTGATGAATAAGACACATGTGCTACAGTTGGGTATCTTTAGTGATGAATAAGACATGTGATGAATGGTTTTGAAAACCGACAAGTTGAAGAATTGAGACACTTATGCAACACATGGGAATCTTTATTGAAGAAACGTTTCGCCACACAGTGGCTTCATCAGTCCAATACAAAGTAGAAATGGGTAAGGAGAGGAGGAGTTCGAGGTAATCAGTCCCTCAACCTGGAATCGATATGTTCAGTCCATCACTCTTGCAGGAAGTGCAGCGTAGGGCCAGAGAGGTGGCTTATATACTGCAGTCAGATGAGTTGAAGCAGGAGGAGGCGGGATCACAGTGGGACCTGCCACTTGTGTAAGTAGGTCATCGTCTAAAGGTTGGGCAAGCGTTGAAGTCTTTGTACCAAGATCCCATGATGTTGCAGTGTCTGACAGATGTGATGAATGGTTTTGAAAACCGACAAGTTGAAGAATTGGTACAAAGACTTCAACGCTTGCCCAACCTTTGGACGACGACCTACTTACACTAGTGGCAGGTCCCACTGTGATCCTGCCTCCTCCTGCTTCAACTCATCTGAGTGCAGTATATAAGCCACCTCTCTGGCCCTATGCTGCACTTCCTACAAGAGATGGACTGAACACATCGATTCCAGGTTGAGGGACTGATTACCTCAAACTTCTACTCTCCTTACCCATTTCTATTTTGTATTGGACTGATGAAGCCACTGTGTGGCAAAACATTTCTTCAATAAAGATTCCCATGTGTTGCATAAGTGTCTCAATTCTTCAATAAGACACATATGCAACAGTTGGGTATCTTTACTGATGAATAAGATAACATGTGCAACAGTTGGGTATCTTTACTGATGAATAAGACACATGTGCAACAGTTGGGTATCTTTACTGATGAATAAGATAACATGTGCAACAGTTGGGTATCTTTACTGATGAATAAGACACATGTGCAACAGTTGGGTATCTTTACTGATGAATAAGACTTGTGCAACAGTTGGGTATCTTTACTGATGAATAAGATAACATGTGCAACAGTTGGGTATCTTTACTGATGAATAAGATAACATATGCAACAGTTGGGTATCTTTACTGATGAATAAGACACATGTGCAACAGTTGGGTATCTTTACTGATGAATAAGATAACATGTGCAACAGTTGGGTATTTTTACTGATGAATAAGATAACATGTGCAACAGTTGGGTATCTTTACTGATGAATAAGACACATGTGCAACAGTTGGGTATCTTTATATTTATCACATACACACATGTGTCTTACTTATCAACTTGTTTGTATTTTTTTACAACTTTCAACAAATAAATTAGACCAGTTTGTACCCATCAAAGATGTTAAGGAGGGTAACTTACCTATAATGTGAGGGCAGTTGGCAATGAGGTACTGCTCTAGGATCAGTTTGGCCAACATAGCAGGTGAGTAGTCCATTGCTAGAGCCATCTTCACCAGGATACCAGGGGGATCTCTTGACTCTACGCATGATAAGTAACTGAAAAGTCATTATCCAAAATACTGAGGATGTCATATAAAACTGGCTCAGGCTTTAGAAAAATGACATTGTAAATTTTGTTACTATGAGATAAATAGAAGCTACATTATTATTTTCCAATAAAATCTATAGGATTTATGTTGTACTAAAAAATAAAAAGAGCACTCTCCTATTATTTGACTTCTTTAGTATTAAGATTTTTTTATCATAACTAAGATTTAGACAGGAGTAAGTAGAGACAAATGGTTTTTGGGATCTGACGAGCTGCTGGAGTGTGAGCAGGGTAATATTTTGTGAAGGGATTCAGGGAAACTGGTTAGCCAGAGTTGAGTCCTGGAGGTGGAAAGTACAATGCCTGCACTTTAAAGGAGGGGTTTGGGATACTGGCTGTTTGGAGTGATATTTAAACTGTCATATCTGGGCACCTCTTCAAAGACTGATTATGTGTGAATGAAGTTGAAAGTGTTGAATAAAGGTGAAAGTGTTTCATTCTTACCATACCACGAGCGGGGATAGAACCTGCAATCATTCTTTTTTTGGGTCACCCTGCTTCGGTGGGAGATAGCCAATGCGTTGAAAAAAAAAAAATTTACCACACTGGTCATCTCCCACCAAGGTGAAGTAGCCCAAAAGAGGAAACATATTTATTGACCTTCATAAAAGTTGCCCTGTTCACACTCCAACAGGAGGTCAGGTCTTATGAATTGCTTACTCCCACTCTCATATAATATGCTCATACAAACCTATTGAATGTTCAAGCTCCTAGAACCCATACACTCGTTTACCCTCTCCCTGCAATCCTCCCTGGGACAACCCTTATCCCTCCTTCCCTCTATCCCAGATTTATATTCTGCAGTCATCCTATTCTGCTCTATCCTCTCTAAATGCTCAAACCACTTCAAGAACTCATCTTTCAATTTCTACACTCCAAACCCTCTGCATAATATTCACACTACCTGGAGTATACCTAGAGGGTGTTCCAGGAGTCAATGCCCCCATGGCCCAGTCCATGACCAGGCCTACACATCAATGAATAAAGTTTTTCAAAAAGATCTGTTTTAGGGTAGCTCTGCTTGTTTGACCAAATATACATATATAAGAACAATATTTAAGTGTTAAAATGGCAAGAAGCAGACTTACTTGCTATATATTTCGCTGGCTTTATCTTGGGCATGAATACGATGAAAGTTCTTTTTCACCTTTTTTTGCATCTCCTGAGCCCAAATGCTGTTTAATGTTGTCCTCTCAATTCTGTAAAAAAAGTAAGTAAATACAGATATATGTTTAATAATAGAAAAAATATGCAACAAGGAACCAGTCATTACAAAAAATACAGAACATGTAAAAAGTATAACTTAGTAGTACATATACCACAGTAAGATATAGAAAATATTAATTGAAGGCATTTAGTACATACATATGCATTTAAAACTAAATGTAAAACAAATAAATATAATGTGTAATATGACACAAACAAATAAATATGATGTATAAACAATCTTAGGTGGCTTGTAGCCTAGTTGGCAAAGTTCTCGCTACACACGCTGAGGATTCGGGTTTGATTCCCGGCAAAGGTGGGCATGTTTCCTTACACCTGTTGACCCTGTTCACCCAACAGTAAAATGGGTACCTGGGTCTTAGTCAACTGGTGTGGGTTGCAATTGGGACAAAAATTGACCTAATCTGCCTGAAATGCTCTGCATAACAAGGGGATGTCTATATAGTAGTACAGTATGTCACTGATGTCAGCTAGACTTGTATACCTTGTGCATGTACACTTACGACCGAGTTCGGTTCCGAGAAACCGGTCGTAAGTCGAACTTTACTACTGAATATCAACAAAACATTTTTGTAATGACTTTATTTTATTGTTTTATTTTGGTATTTCATGTTTTACTTTACTTTTTATGTTGTTAGTACTGTATTTTATACTGTAAGGTTTAGGATAAACACTGTGTACAACACAAATACAGTGGACCCCGCTTAACGATCACCTCCCAATGCGACCAATTATGTAAGTGTATTTATGTAAGTGCGTTTGTACGTGTATGTTTGGGGGTCTGAAATGGACTAATCTACTTCACAATATTCCTTATGGGAACAAATTCGGTCAGTACTGGCACCTGAACATACTTCTGGAATGAAAAAATATCGTTAACCGGGGGTCCACTGTAGTTTATTTCCCAGAAATTTGGCATAAAAAACATGGTCGTAAGTCGAGTGGTCGTAAGTCGAGCAGGTCGTAAGTCGGATGGTAGGTGTACTTGTAGTAGAAATATATTGTTTAAATAAATATGATGTATCATGTGAATTTCAAGTACAGTGAATAGCTACAAATTCTCTACACCAAAGATGATTAAATTAACTTTTTCTGAAGTGCTTCTCAAGGTCTGTAACATATGACATAGTCAGAGATTTTGCTACAGATTCACTATTTCTCTGTTCATCCTCCTAACAAAAAATTAGTTTCACAAATTTGATTTGCAATGTACATTTCGTAGGGTAGGGTAACCCAAAAAAAGAAGAAATGCTTTCATCATCATCATTCATAAGAATGGAGGAATACTGCAGAAGGCCTACTGGCCCATACAAGGCAAGTCCTTATCAAAACCACCCCTACCCAAAGCTATCTAAGACTCTACTCCAGTACCCAATGACACCAATCAAACCCAGCCGTTCCAACTCCATCACTGTCTTGCCAGAGGCATGCCTACACTACAGTTAAAAAAAAATAACTGCAACCTATCTCCACCCCTCCTTCAGAGTGCAGGCACTGTACTGTACTTCCCACCTCCAAGACTCAAGTCCAGTTAACTGGTTTCCCTGAATCCCTTCACAAATATTACTTTGCTCACACTCCAACAGTACGTCAAGTCATAAAATCCATTTGCCTCCACTCACTCCTATCTAATATGCTCACACATGCTTGCTGGAAGCCCAAGCTCCTTGCACACAAATACACAAGATATATCACCTGTAAAGGAAACTCAACTTGCATGATGTGTCAACCACCAGTAACAATACTCACCCCTCAAACTTATTAACAAGAGTTGCTACTATGTTTCCTGCAGGCTTAGAATTGATGACTTGTATAACTTCCTCGTACTGTTGAAGCTTCATTATGCTGACCGGATTTAAACTCTCTGAAAAAAAAATAAAGTTTCTTCATAAAACAAACTGCAATTAGTTTCCTGATATAATACACAGTACCATAATTTTTTTAATCGCATCTGCCATTTTTCCAACAGTGACCCAAAGAGGAAACAAAGTTGCAAATATTCATTCAATGGCTGTCCTGCCAGAAGTGTGTGGACATATCACAATTCAGGTGATGTACACGACATGTGTATTTTGAAGAAACTCTAAATATGAAAAGGAGGATGCAATCAATAATTACGTTTTATATTTCTGCAAAATCAAGGAATTTTTTTATGACAAAATTATATCAATTTAAAAAAAAAAATTGTACAATTATAGTAAATAAAATGTGAGTACAGAAAAGAGTAAAATGATGAGAGTAACAAAAATGTAGGCAATGAGAAATCGCAAATCAGTTTCGAGGGAGTATGGATGAGGTGAATGTACAGTATTCAGATATTTGTGACTAGACCTGTCGATTGATGGGTCTATGAAAGGTGGAGGTGAACTACAGAAGAGACGAGGAAAAAAGGTACATGGTAAGATAAATCATCTTTCGAAAGAATGTTTATCCATGGAGAAAAAATGAGAAATGTATCTGAGTATATCATACAGTGGACCCCCGGTTAACGATATTTTTTCACTCCAGAAGTATGTTCAGGTGTCAGTACTGACCGAATTTGTTCCCATAAGAAATATTGTGAAGTAGATTAGTCCATTTCAGACCCCCAAACATACACATACAAATGCACTTACATAAATACACTTACATAATTGGTCGCATTCGGAGGTAATCGTTATGCGGGGGTCCACTGTAATCTACACTTGGAAAATCTTGGAAGGAATGGTCCCAAATCTGCACAGAAAAATCACTCCCTACGAAAGTAAAAGACTGGGCAGGCGATGCAAAATGCCCCCAATAAAAAGTAGGGGCGCCATTGGTACACTAAGGGAAAACACCATAAGTGTCCGGGCCCAAAACTGTTCAACAGCCTCCCATCAAGCATTAGGGGAATTGCCAATAAACCCCTGGCTGCCTTCAAGAGAGAGCTGGACAGATACCTAAAGTCAGTGCCGGATCAGCCGGGCTGTGGCTCGTACGTTGGACTGCGTGCGGCCAGCAGTAACAGCCTAGTTGATCAGGCCCTGATCCATCGGGAGGCCTGGTCATGGACCGGGCCGCGGGGGCGTTGATCCCCGGAATAACCTCCAGGTAACCTCCAGGTATCTGAGTAATTTTCACAAATTTTATTTGGATAATTAAGCCAGAGAATTAGTAACCTAGGATAACCCAATAATTAGTATTATTATATATTGAAGAAGTATTAACCCCATAAGGGTCAAATAGTGCCTGGGAAATGAGCCACTATATCTGGCTTATTTGCATTGGGGCCCTTTGAGCCCCTTCCCCAGAATAAGTACTATGTATAATATTTATGTGGAAGCATTATTATTACTGTATATATGGGGAGGTGACCCATAGGGGTCATATAGCACCTGGGAAATTGGAGGTAATCAGGTTTGATTAAAGGAAATGAAGACTAGCTTTGATTCCCTGGAATAAGAACCCTTGAATGGCCTCAAAGCAACTCCCTGCAAGGAATACCTGGAGGGTGCTCCGGGGGTCAATGCTCCTGCAGCTCAGTCCATGACTACCAGGAATCGCAGTGGATCAGGGCATGATCAACCAGGTGTCGTAATGACAAGTCCAATCCTTTGGAACAAGAGCCCATCATGGGCATCAAGCACCTTCCTTAGTATAATAAAAGCAATCTTTATTTCTACAAATACATGATACAACTTATACTGACCTAAACTAATATCAATGACATACTCCCTAGAAAGCCCCCTGGTTATGCAGAACATTTCAGGGCAAATTAGGTTAATTTTGTCCCAGGATGCGACCCACACCCAGGTATCTATTTACTGCTAGGTGAACAGGGACAGCAGATATCTTAAGGAAACACAGCCAATGTTTCCACCACATACCGAGAATCGAACCATGGACTTCAGTGTACGAGCTGAGTACACTACCAACCAAGTACAATTTTAAAATATTTTTGGATGATAACAGTCTTACTTAGTAACATATGTGTAAATTTTCTAAGATAACACAAAGAAAATGAAACAAAGCGTCTTACTCCTATTGGGGTCCTCAAAATTCTTTATTTTCAGAAGCCTATTAGATGCATGATTATTTATAATGAGATAGAATAAATCAAATGCATAAAAATAAATTACAATAAGGATAGATACAATATGAATAACATACAGTGAATAAATCAAATACATGAGCATTAAAAAGAAGAAATCAACTAAATGTAAGTTACATAAATATCAACTATACAAAAAATAACATTCCTCTATTTCTGTGGTCTACACCCTTAAGGGGTCTATTAAGGGGGTCTATACCCTATAATGCAGGTGTGAAGTTCGTAGAGCATGACCCTCCTGAGCCCTGGGTGTCCCTTGGCCTGGTTGGCAATGTTCTCGCTTCACACACTGAGTGTCTGTGGTTCAATTCCCGGCACAGGTTGAAAAATTGGGTGTGTTCCTTACACCTGTTGTCTGTTCACTTAGCAAGCAAATAGGTACCTGGATGTTAGTCGATTGGTGTGAGTTGCATCCTGGAGGACAAGATTGAAGGACCCCAATGGAAATAAGACAGACAGTCCTTGATGACGCACTGATTTTCATGTGAAACGTACAAAAAAAAAACAAAGTAATATTTCCAATAAGAAATACTGTAAATACAATTAATCCGTTCCAGACACCCAAAAATATTAACAAAAAATACATTTTTTAAACTAACTATAGTTTTACATACCGAAAACGAGAAATAAATATAAAGCACTAATGAAATAGATAAATAAACATTTAAATTACCATTACATACCTTTATTGAAGACTGCTGTTGGCGTACGGAAGAAGGCGAGGAGGGGAGAGAGAGGAGAGCTTATTGTTTGGAAGGGATATCCCCTTCCATTAGGACTTTAGATATCAAAGTCCTATCCGAGGTTACTTTCCTTCTTTGTCTTTTACTAGCACTGGACCTCCGTTGCACTAAAAATTTTCCCAAGTCCTCTCTTCCTCGCGTATCTTTAAGATATGCCTAAGATGGTCCATAGGATTGTCAGTGAACATGTCGCAGATACGGCTTGTATCAGCTTGGTCAGGGTGATATTTTTTCACGAAAGTTTGCAACTCATTCCACACTGCAAACATGTCCTTTATCGCTGAAGAAGGCAACTTCCTCCCTCTCTCTTCCTCCTCCTCTGGAGTAAGTTCTTCAGTTGTGGTTCGTAGCCGTTCCAGATGATCTTCCTTGGTTAACTCTTCCTTGTGCTCCTCCACCAACTCTTCCACATCCTGGCCACTCATCTCCAACCCCATGGACATCCCCAAAGACACAATAGACTCCACAATAGACATAGGGTCATCAGGGTCGGCCTCAAGCCCTTCAAAACCCTCGTCGAGGACACATTCTGGCCACAATTTTCTCCAAGCATTGTTCATCGTCCTGGAAGTCACTCCCTGCCAAGCCTTATCTATAAGACCTATGCAATTGAAGATAGTGAAGTGATCCCTCCAGAACTCTCTCAGGGTCATCTGAGTGTCAAAGGTCACATCAAAGCACCTCTGAAACATTGCTTTGGTGTAGAGTTTTCTAAAGTTAGAAATAATCTGCTGGTCCATAGGCTGGAGGAGACGAGTGGTGTTAGGAGGCAAGAATTTCAATTTAATAAACTATACTCCTCCACAATTCGTTCTTCCAAGCCTGGATAACGACCAGGAGTAATGTCCGTTATCAGGAGGCACTTCAGTGGCAATCTCTTCTCCAGGAGGTATTTTTTCACAGTGGGAGCAAACACTGCATAGAACCAATCAAGGAAAATCAGATCCGTGAGTCTTGCCTTAGTCTCAGGCTTCCACGTCATTTTCAAAAGCGAGTTGACAACATTATGTTTCTTGAAGAATCTGGGATATTCAGTGTGATATACCACTAAAGGATTTATTTTAAAATCTCCACTAGCATTACCACACAACAAAAGAGTAAGCCTATCCTTCATAGGCCTATGTCCTGGCAGTGCCTCTTCCTCCTGCGTAATGTAGGTCCTCTTTGGCATTTTCTTCCAATAAAGACCAGTTTCGCCACAATTAAACACTTGATGGGGTTGCAATTCTTCAGTATCTATATACTCCTTAAAAGCCTCTACATAACCTCCAGCCACATGTTGCTCATCACTTGCAGCCTCATTATGCCTTACAACACTATATATACCATTACACTTCTTAAATCCGTTGACTAAGCCTCTCCTGGCAGTAAATTCACTAACATCAGCACTAGTTCCAGGCATTTTCTTGAGATCCCCGTCTGGCCTTGTCACAAATTTTCTCCTCCACAACAATGTCTTCCACCAACTGTGTCTCCTTCACCCACAACAATTCAAATTCAAATTCAAAATTCAAAAGTTTATTCTCTATAAGGATTACAATGCTGAGTTTATAGAATTTGGTTATTGTGTGGTTTACATGTAGTAAAATAATAATTACAGAGTGTATCACTAGAACACCTAGAATGGCTAGGCATTTCGGGCAGACTTAGGCAGATTTATTCAAATCAAAGTTTATCCTCTGTAAAGATTACTATGTGAGGTTTATATATTATAAAATATTGGTTAAAATGTTATCTATTTCGTTACTATGTGGGGTTTATATATTATAGTTATTATAATCAAAAAGAAGCGCTAAACCACAAGGTGCATATTATAAAATATTGGTTAAAATTTGATCTCGTTACCATGTGGGGTTTATATATTATAAAATATTGGTTAAAATGTGATCTATTTCGTTTCGAATTTTTTCGGCATCTTATGGTTCCTAAACCGCTGCTGCCAGAGTGAAATACTGACTGCCTCACTACACACACCTCACACTCTTACCTGAATCAATAAATAAATGTGTAATGTCCTAATCCAAGGGAAAAAATATGGTACTACTTGCAATGTAGATCTTAGTGAACAAGCTTAATGAGTTCTATTATTATTATAGTCAAGGGGGAAAGCGCTAAACCCGGAGGATTATACAGCGCCCAGGGGGGGATGTGGAAGGCATTCAGGCTTAATTCGGGGAACTGGAGCACAGAACCAATTCCCTAAATCAAGAGCCCCTCACCAACATCAAGGAACCTTCCTTGAGGGGTAACGAGTTCTAGTTAGCACACTTAAGGCCAAGACAAAATGTTCGCAATAAAGCTAACATAATTCTTAGCTTTTTATCAAGAAATATAAATAATAAAAGAGTTGTGCATGCGTCTTTCTCATCAACTTGTCCGATAAGATTTAAGATTTTGTTTAGATTCTTTTAACCAGGAAGGTTAGTCACTCAGGATAATTCAATAAAGTCAGTGCGTCACGGGTCTGTCTGTCTATTTCAAATGTGATCCTTTAATCTTGTCCCCAGGATGCGACCCACAACAGTCGACTAACACCCAGGTACCTACTTATTGCTAGGTGAGCAAGGACAGGAAGTGTAAGGAAATGTCCATCGTTTCCACTCATGGACCCCAATGGAAATAAGTCACTCTGTCTGACTTTTTTGGGTTATCCCAGGTTCTCTACACATATGCTGCTATGTATGATAATTCTGTGTAACTGTATTTGTGTATACCTGAATAAACTTACTTGCTATGCCGGAGACTGAACCACGGACACTCAGTATATGAGCTAAGTGCGTTGCCAACCGAGCCACGGGACGCCGTATCGTATACCATTTATAATATGACCCTAGACTCTTAATCCTTGCTAGTTTGGTTGCATGCCAGGGAAAAGTACTACGGATTTAATAAAAAATAGGTTTGACTCAACTACAAAATAACGTGTCAAATGGGCCTCTTTATTGATCTAAGAAAAGCTATTGATATGGTGGGTCAGAACACCGTCCTGGTTCAATTACATCATCGTGGAATCAGAGGTCCTGCTGTCACATGCCGTCATCCTCAGTGGGAGGCTTGAGGAACTAACCACCTCAAGCTCAGACTGATGGACCGATCATGTCAAAACTACATCTACTGCTTCCAGTGTTGTGTTAGTAAGTATTTTTTTAGGCACAAGTACACATAAGTACAATTATCATACAAAAAAAAAAACAGTCAGACAACATACTGAGGTCCTTGTCTTATTTTCACCTGTATTCGACTGAAGAAGCTTGTTGTGCAGTTTAAACGTTTCAGCAGTAAAGATACTTAGGTACTGCACACGTTTCTTATTCGTTGCAAGGTTAATTCTTATGTAAATTTAAAACTGCACAACTTCAACTGTTTTCCTGAGATACCAAATATTAAGCGACCCTATAATAGTTATAGCGTAAATTTGTTAAACAGTCGTTTTCTATATATGCATTCTACTAAAAGCAATTTTCTTTGTCTTTTAATGGGTAAACTTAAAAAAAATAGATGGCTAATATTACCCAGGTAAGATTTCGTCGGATTTTAAATCAGAGGCCCTCCGGGGTAGTGTTAGCTACTGTCTATGTTATTTCTATTGTGGTCCTTTAATACTGTCAAGGACAGCAATGGAAATAAGTCACTTTGACTTTATAGGGGGATTGTCCTACGTAATTTACACGCATGCTGCTATGTATGATAATTTATGTAACTGTATTTATGTGTATCTGTACCTGAATAAACCTACTTACTCAATCTCCTCTCAAGATGGAAACCACGACAGTCGACTTACACCCGAAAAATTATATCATATATACAACCTTAATGACCCTCGTGCAGTTGGTAGGCTTTAAACCTCATTAACTAGCCAACCGTCTACAAGAAAAAAAAAAGACTTTACTGGGAATAGTAACCCAACAGGGTTAATAACCCAGGATGACTCAAGAAAGCCAAGGGTTGTGGCTTATTTCCGTTGTGGTTCTTAGGTCTAACTCCAGCATGCCGCCCACAATATCATCTATCTCCCAGGTGCCTGTTTACAAAAGGACCCCAGTGGAAATAAGTCACTGTGTCTGACTTTTTTGGGTTATCCTAGGTTCTCTACACATATGCTGCTATGTATGATAATTCTGTGTAACTGTATTTGTGTATACCTGAATAAACTTACTTACTTACTTACTTACTTACTGCTAGGCAACAATGGGACAGCAGGTGTTGTCCTTTCAAGGTGCTTCTGATCCAAGAAATTGGATTACCCCCTCGCTTTCCTTGGATCGATCATGAATGCCTGTCATCCCATGGCTCTGTATGACCCCTATGGGTTTAGCTCTCTCTCATGAATATAACAAATAACAATAATAATGATGTAGGTATAAGATTTACCCCAACGTCATCAAGATCACACTGGTGGTCCAGCATCACTGACATATACAGACCTGGTCGTCAAGACCACACTGGTGGTCCAGCATCACTGACATACACAGACCTGGTCGTCAAGACCACGCTGATGGTCCAGCATCACTGACATACACAGACCTGGTCGTCAAGACCACACTGGTGGTCCAGCATCACTGACATACACAGACCTGGTCGTCAAGACCACACTGATGGTCCAGCATCACTGACATACACAGACCTGGTCGTCAAGACCACACTGGTGGTCCAGCATCACTGACATACACAAACCTGGTCGTCAATACCACAATGGTGTTCCAGCATCACTGACATACACAGACCTGGTCGTCAAGACCACACTGGTGGTCCAGCATCACTGACATACACAGACCTGGCCGTCAAGACCGCACTGGTGGACCAGCATCACTGACAAGCACAGACCTGGTCGTCAAGACCACACTGGTGGACCAGTATCACTGACAAACACAGACCTGGTCGTCAAGACCACACTGGTGGACCAGTATCACTGATAAACACAGACCTGGTCGTCAAGACCACACTGGTGGACCAGCATCACTGACAAACACAGACCTGGTCGTCAAGACCACACTGGTGGACCAGCAGTGCTGACATACACAGACCTGGCCATCAAGACCACACTGGTGAACCAGTATCACTGACAAACACAGACCTGGTCGTTAAGACCACACTGGTGGACCAGCAGTGCTGACATACACAGACCTGGCCATCAAGACCACACTGGTGAACCAGTATCACTGACAAACACAGACCTGGTCGTCAAGACTACACTGGTGGACCAGTGTAGTCTTGACATACCTGACATACAGGTATGGGAATTCTTAGAAGCTCGTATAACATTGGCATATTTTAAAACACAAGACGTGACGGTAAGCTGTCCAATATACAAAAAGAGTTAGAAACAGAAATACAAATAGCTAGAACTTCATTTAAGGTTATTAATATAATATTCAAGAGGTTGCTAGTAGAATTGCAGTAAATCAACCATTCACATCATTATGAAGCTGTGTGTAGTCTGTGCTCAGTCAAACAAACGGGCTTCCACATGGATAAATTGTCATTTTTGTGGAAATTGGTGTCACGCTCCTTGTGCAGATATCCCAGAACTAGCTACAAGCAGTATTAAAACAGAGAAGTGTTTTTGGGTATGCCCAAATGAGGAAAATCTGTGGACTAAAATCACAAGGGTATTAAAAGAGGACAACATCAAAGCTGCTTTCATAGAAAACCTGGAAGCTTTCTACAACAGATGGGAACATAAAAAGTCTGGGCTGAATGGTACTGCCCTTGATACTGGCCATGTAGTCACAAACTGCAAGGCTGGAGGTGATGTCCTGGGAGACAGTAATAGTAAACCTGGAGGTGCTGTCCTGGGAGACAGTAATGGTGAAGCTGGAGGTGCTGTCCTGGGAGACAGAAATGGTGAAGCTGGAGATACTGTCCTGGGAGACAGTAATGGTGAAGCTGGAGATTTTGTCCAGGTAGTCGGGAATTATACGCAGGAAGGAATACATATAAATGACCTCATAGAGGACAGGAGCCATAGTAGGGAAACAAGTGTAGTCAAAGATAAGATAAAACCAATATTGCAAACTAGAAATACCGCAGGAAATAGCAAACAAGAGGACTCCAATAGCAATAGTGAGGATAAATTACCAAAAACAACTGGTGGGAGCTCCATTGTTGGTGCTAGGGAGGATAGAAGTAAGACAGGGAAACATGCACCAACAGGGAATACAGTCACAGAAACCCAAGGCAAACGGAAACCAAGCCTGTGCACATACTATGCACTTGGTATCTGCTGGCATGGGAAATCTGGAAAAACAGATGGGACATGCAACTATGACCACCCTAGAAAATGTCATGTCCATATGACAACAGGAAAATGCAAACTCCCTTCCTGTAAGCTTTTTCACCCTGAAATGTGTACCTCTTCAGTACAGGAAAGACTGTGCTATAACTTAAATTGCCAGGCATACCATCTAAAGGGGACAAAAGATACAAAACATCCAGGCCATGGGAAAACCTGGGTAGCCACAGCCACTCAAGAGGGA